CCTCTCAAAGTGCTGAGATTACAGGCGTGAGTCACCGTGCCTGGCCCTATTTTATTTTTAATGACCAAGTCTCTATCTGTCGCCAGGCTGGAGTACAGTGGTGCAATCATAGCTCACTGCAGCCTCCAAATCCTGGGCTCCTCCCGCCTCAGTCTCCTTAGTAGCTAGGATTATAGGCACGCACCACCACACCTGGCTAATTTTTAAAATATTTTGTAGAGATTTCTTACTATGTTGCCTAGGCTGGTCTTTAAACTCCTGCCTTAGCCTCCCAAAGTGTTGGGATTATAGGCATGAGCCACTGTGCCTGGCCTCTTACTTTTTCTCTTATTGAAATTGACCTGTCAGAGCAGAAACCTCTGACCCAGCTGGCCAGTCTCTTCTGCAGAGAGAGGGTGGCGTGTGCCAGAGCTGGTAGACCAGGCCTCACCTAATGGCTGCACCTTGAGTAGATCTGGCCTGGCACTTAGATTCAGAAGTCACCTACGAGAGACTTTGTGCACCAGTGTGGCAGTTTATTAATTAAAAAGAGGAGTGCCATCTAGCTGAAAACCTGCCATTGTGTGTTTTTTTGTTTGTTTTTTGAGAGAGTTTCTCTAGTCACCCAGGCTGGAATGCAAGAGCACAATCTCAGCTCAGTGCAACCTCTGCCTCCCACCGGGTTCAAGCAATTCTCCTGCCTCAGCCTCCCAAGTAGCTGGGATTACAGGCGTGCACCACCACGCCTAGCTAATTTTTGTATTTTTAGTAGAAACAGGATTTCATCATGTTGGCCAGGGGTCTCGAACTCCTAATCTCAAGTGATCTGCCCACCTCGGCCTCCCAAAGTGCTGAGGTTACAGGCATGAGCTACTGTGCCCGGCCAAACCTGCCATTGTTTATTTGTCTAGAGTAAGACCTCCTTAAGAGACCAAATTAGGATTCAGAAGGTTGTTTTTATGAATGACATCTGATCAAGAAAACTGGGCAGAGGTGTGTTTGCCTCCAGCAACTGTATGTCATCCTTCACTATCCTGATGGTTTCCCCTCTAGTGCTGGGATGTGACACCTTTCCCACTAGGACCACGTGGGTGACATTCACAACCTGTGCATCACTTAACTCTCCTTTTTCTTGTCAGTATCTTTCCACCACTCTTCATTTGTCTTTGTGGTCTCACTTTGCTGTTTCTAAGATTTCTTAGGTTTTGTTTGTTTGTGAAACAGAATCTTGCTCTCTCCCCCAGGCTGGAATGCAGTTGTGTGATTTCAGCTTACTGCGACCTCTGCCTCCCAGGTTCAAGCAATTCTTGTGCCTCAGCCTCCCGAGTAGCTGGAACTACAGGCGCATGCCCCCACACCTGCGGTTTTTTTTTTTGTATTTTTAGTAGAGATAAGATTTCACCATGTTGGCCAGCTGGTCTCAAACTCCTAACCTTGAGTGATCCGCCTGCATCAGCCTCCCAAAGTGCTGGGATGACAGGGGTGAGCAACCACCCTTGGCCCTCTTAGGTTATATTTAGATCAGAAACTTTTTTTTTTGAGACAGAGTTTTGCTCTGTTGCCCAGGCTAGAGTGCAGTGGCGTGATCTCGGCTCACTGCAAGCTTTGCCTCCTGGTTTCACGCCATTCTCCTGCCTCAGCCTCCCGCGTAGCTGGGACTGCAGGCGCCTTCCATCACGCCTGGCTAATTTTTTGTATTTTTAGTAGAGACGGGGTTTCACCTGTCTCTTATACACATCTAGATGTGTATAAGAGACAGCTCCCAAAGTGCTGGGATTACAGGCTTGAGCCAACGCGCCCGGCCCCACATTTTTTATTTTGTTTTAATTATTTTTTTGAAGTCAGGATCTCACTCTCTTGCCCAGACTGGAGGGCGCTGGCATGATGACAGCTTACTGTAGCCTTAATCTCCCAGGCTCAAGCAATCCTCCCACCTCAGCCCCCTGAGTAGCTTGGACTATAAGCACTGTCCTACCACACCCTACTACTTTTAAAACATTTTTGTAGAGGCTGAGCGTGGTGGCTCACGCCTGTAGTCACAGCACTTTGGGAGGTCGAGGCGAGCGGATCATGAGGTCAGGAGATCGAGACCATTCTGGCTAACACAGTGAAACCCCGTCTCTACTAAACATACAAAAATTAGCTGGGTGTGGTGGCCTGTAGTCCCAGCTACTCGGAAGGCTGAGGAAGGAGAATGGCGTGAACCCTGGAGGTGGCGCTTGCAGTGAGCTGAGATTGTGCCACTGCACTCCAGCCTGGGCAAAAGTGCAAGACTCTATCACCAAAAAAAAAAAATTTTTTTTTTTTTTTTTTTTTTTTTTAATGGAGCTAGCTGAAATACTTTTTCAAAAGAGGTAGGAAAATTATTCAGGAACCAGCATTTTGTAATACTTAGAAATCTTGGTGTGTGCTATAGTTTATGGTGATCTTATGGGGAAGGAATTACTTACAGTTGACCCAGAAATTCTATATTGCAAAGGAAACTTTCTATTTAATGTCCTAGAAAATGAAAGTAAAAATCTCACTGCTTCTTCCTCTGAACTAGTGTCTGTCCTATTGCCATGTGAGCCACACTCCTTTTTGTCTAGTATTGCGGAGGACGTCATTCCGACCTGAGGGAATGGTGTTCTGGAGGCCTGTGGGTTTTGTCTTTGACCTTGATTCAGCTTGATTAAGCCTGGCACCTGCAGGAACAGGCCTGGAGGGTGCAGGGAAAGGAGAAGATAACTCAATTCAGAATCAAGCATGTTCCAAAATGTTAAAGCATTCCACTTTGTAATCATGCTTACATGGTTCCATTATTCTTGTAAGTTGACCACATTTGCATGCCCCTGCATGTATCGTGGCTGGCAGAAGCATGCCAGCACCCCCTAAGTGAAGGCCTTGGTGCAGAGGATTCCAGTAAGAGCACATCCAAAAGTAAGAGTCTGAGTTCTCCCTGTCTCCAGCATAGAACTTCTGTGTCATGTACTTTTGTGGTATTTTTCCCAGTTTACGAAAGCACAAGCATTGCGTTTCCCTCCTTTGGCCAGAGTATTCCTGTCTTGGTCTTGCCTCTGCTCATTTCAGCTTTATCCAGTTGTCTTTCTCAGCCTTCTGTCTCTCCTCCAGACACACCAGTCTTTTTGAGAGAGAGTCTTGGCTCTGTTGCCCAGGCCGGAGTACAGTGGCACAATCTCGGCTCACTGCAACCTCTGCCTCCCAGGTTCGAGGGATTCTCGTGCTTCAGCCTCCTGAGCAGCTGGGATTACAGATGCCCGCCACCACTCCTGGCTAATTTTTACATTTTTAGTAGAGACAGGATTTCCCCATTTTGGTCAGGCTGGTCTTGAACTCCCGACCTCAGGTGATCCGCCTGCCTCGGCCTCCCAAAGTGCTGGAATTACAGGTGTGAGCCACCACGCCCAGCCCAGACACACCTTTCTGTAATATGTTCACATTGCACATAAGGAACTTTCACCTTCAATTATTGGGGGCAAAGATGTCATCTTTCTTACGGGGGTGCCTCACATATACTTTTTTGTCTCTGGGTTTCGGCCCAAGGTAGCACTTCTATTTCTTCTTCTTTCTTCTTTCTTCTCCTCCTTCTCCTCCTCCTCTTCCTTCTCCTCCTCCACCCTCCTCTTCCTCCCTCCTCCTCCTCCCCCTCCTTTTCCCTTCTCCTCCTCCTCCCCCTCCTTTTCCCCTCTCCTCCTCCCTCCTCCATCTCCCCTTCTCCTCCTCCTCCTTCTCCTTCTCCTTTTCTTCCTCTTTTCCTCCTCCTCCTTTCTCCTAACTTCTTTCTTCTTTCTTCCTCCTCCTCCTCCTTCTCCTCCTCCCCCTTTCTCCTCCTCCTCCTTCTTCCTTCCCCTCCTCCTCTTCCCTCCTTCCTTCTTCTTCTTCCTTCTCCTCATCCTCTTCACTTTGTCATCCAGGCTGGAATGCAGTGGCGCCATCTCAGCTCACTGCAGCCTCAACCTCCCAGATGCAAGCAATCCTCCTGCCTCAGCCCCTCAAAGAGCTGGGACTACAGGTGTGCAGCACCATGCCTGGCTAGTTTTTGTATTTTTAGTAGAGACTGGGTTTTGACATGTTTCTCAGGCTGGTCTCAAATTCCTGAGCTCAAGCTATCCACCCATCTCTGCCTCCCAAAGTGCTAGGACTACAGGTGTAAGCCACTGTGCCCAGCCTATTTCATCTTACTGTGTACTTCCAGCACCTAATGGCAACCCCTTTCCTAAGTATAGGTTGCCAGTTAGGAGTTCTACAGAAACTTGAACAATAGAGAACTGTGTTGGCATCAACAAACCAAGAATCAAAATGTTCAGTAGATAAATGAAAGTTCTGATAAGTTGCAGCAGGTGTCTTTGTTTTTATTCTAAGAACAGGCTAATGTCATGGTTCCTTCTCTAGTCCCATATAGAAATCATCCGTGGCCATGCAGCATTCACGAGTGATCCCAAGCCCACGATAGAGGTCAGTGGGAAGAAGTACACCGCGCCTCACATCCTGATTGCCACAGGTGGTGTGCCCTCCATCCCTCATGAGAGCCAGATCCCGGGTGAGTCATACAGCAGGTACTCATTAACAGCAGTCAGGAGTTTACCGTTGCTTTCAACCTGACAAGCCATGCCAGGGGATCTGCCTAAACCAGTTTTCTCTTTGGAGCCAGGCCATGAGAGAAGGTCTTTGCAGAACCTAACTCCAGTTGGCCTAGTGGTAGCTTATGATGCAGGCACCCAGGCTGGAGTGCAGTGGCACAATCTTGGCTCACTGCTACCTCCGCCTCCTGGGTTCAAGCGATTCTCCTGCCTCAGCCTCCCGAGTAGCTGGGACTATAGGCACGCCACCACCACACCTGGCTAATTTTGGTATTTTTAGTAGAGATGGGGTTTCATCGTGTTGGCCAGGCTGGTCTTGAACTCCTGACCTCAGATGATCCGTCCACCTTGGCCTCCCAGAGTGCTGGGATTGCAGGCCACTGTGCCCGGCCAAGAGATTTCATTTGGCCCCAGACTGAGACATATTGTAGGTAACAGGGAGAGAAATCAATGAAAGCCTCATTCTTTCCTTCTCAGCTTAGCATACATTGTTTCCAGCCTCAGTTTGTCAGATGGGTTGTTATTTATAAGACACGTGATAATTTATTGTTTTGTTCCAGAGAGAGAAATCTTCTAAGGATGTAGCTTAAGTAGCTAAGTAAGCTTTTATATACGTATTTTCTCTTTTAAGTAGAGAATTATGGAAGATGAAAGCTGTAAGGAATCCCAGAGATGGTCATAACTGCTTTTGCATTTTATTATTTATTTATTTATTTATTTATTTTGAGACGGAGTCTGGCTCTGTCACCAAGGCTGGAGTGTAGTGGCACAACCTCGGCTTGCTGCAACCTCTGCCTCCCAAGTTCGCGCCATTCTCCTGCTTCAGCCTCCTGAGTAGCTGGGATTACAGGTATCCGCCACCACGCCCAGCTAATTTATGTATTTTAGTAGAGACAGGGTTTCACCATGTTGGTCACGTGGGTCTTAAACTCCTGACCTCAAGTGATCCGCCCGCCTCGGCCTCCCAGAGTGCTGGGATTACAGGCGTGAGCCACTGTGCCCAGCCTATTATTTTATTTTATATTACTTTATTTTTTTGAGACAGGGTCTTGCTCTGTTGTCCAGGCTGGAGTGCAGTGGTGTGATCACAGCTCACTAAGGCCTTGACCAGGAGATTTAGATGGGAGATTGCTCAAATGATCTCTTTCTTTCTTCCCAGCTAGATTGTAAGGACTTTATGGATGGTGAACGTAGTTTATACATCTTTTGAATTCTCCATGGATTGGCTTCATAAGATACATTATCAACGTGAATTTTTTTTTTTTTTTTTTGAGACAGCGTCTTGCTCTGCCACCCAGGCTGGAGTGCAGTGGCACAATCTCCACTCACTAGAACCTCTGCCTCCTGGATTTAAGTGATTCTCCTGCCTCAGCCTTCTTAGTAGCTGGTATTATAGGCACATGCCACCATGTCCAGCTAATTTTTTTGTATTTTTAGTAGAGGTGGGGTTTTGCCACATTGTCCAGGCGAATCTCAAACTCCTGACCTCAGGTGATCCGCCCACCTCGGCCTCCCAAAGTGCTAGGATTACAGGTATGAGCCACTGTACCCGGCCAAAATGCAACATATATATTTGTTTGTTTGTTTAGAGACAGAGTTTTGCTCTTGTCACCTAGGCTGGAGTGCAATGGCAGGATCTTGGCTCACTGCAACTTCTGCCTCCTGCGATTCTTCTGCCCCAGCCTCCTGAGTAGCTGGGATTACAGGCATGCGCCACCACACCCAGCTAATTTTTGTAATTTTAGTAGAGATAGGGTTTCACCATGTTGGCCAGGCTAGTCTCGAACTCCTGACCTCGGTCGATCTGCCTGTCTTAGTCTCCCAAAGTGCTGGGATTACAGGTGTGAGCCACTGCACCCAGCCTAATATATTTAATAACTGATGAGAAATGAAGGTAGGGGGGCTACTGAGAGAAGGAATCAGCAGTTGACAGCTGAAGGCTTTGTCTGCATTATTGGGGGCAGATGGTAACTGAAGTGGTAAACTGGAGAGAGATACAGGTTGGAAAATAAAATTAAGGTTCAGTTCTAAATAGACTAAGGTTGAAGCCAATGTAAAATTCTGTGGCGAGATAATTAGGAACATGGAACTGCAACCTGGGAAGAAAGTCAAACCTGGAATAATGCATTTGGAAGTCCTATAAGATAGGACCTGCTATCCTATATCCAAAGGTTTCAATCTGCTTTTCACTACATGTTTATTTCACTATATAGGTTGTACCTCTTGTAATTCAATGTATATACCATATAGGTTGAAATCTTTGAAAGAATAAGCAGAGAGCAAAGGGCCACATCTTTTTTTTTTTTTTTTTTTTTTTTTAATGAGACGAAATCTTGCTCTGTTCCCAGGCTGGAGTGCAGTGGCACCATCTCGGCTCACTGCAACCTCCGCCTCCCAGGTTCAAGTGATTCTCCTGCCTCAGCCTCCTGAGTAGCTGGGACTACAGGTGCGCGCCACCATGCCCAGCTAATTTTTAATTTTTGTATTTTTAGTAGAGACGGGGTTTCACCACATTGGCCAGGCCACATAGATTTTGAACTACATAGAAATTTGTCTTTTCAGGTGGGAACAGTGGCTCATGCCTGTAATGAGCTAAGCCCCAGGGTTCCTCCTACCCTCGGGGTGGGAGGGTGAACAGATCCAGCAGAGTCTGTTCATGACTGCTGAGATCTTCATTCTTCAGAGAAATGTAAAAGTTATTTAGCCATCATGGCTTCTGTTTCTAGAGAGAAAATAAAAATGTTGACTCAGGGAGGATTTGGTTGGCAGCTTTCCAAGCAGAGACTTTAACAAAACTTGTCAAAACGGAGACTATGTTGGCTGTGAAAGTGTTTGGTTTTTGCATAAAATGTTGTGATGATTTTGCAAGAGAAAGAGCAGTCTTGTGTGATCTATGTTGCCTTTTTCTACATAGGTGCCAGCTTAGGAATAACCAGCGATGGATTTTTTCAACTGGAAGAATTGCCTAGGTAAGCCGACCTGACCTGACTGCAGTGACTCACTCTTCCTTAGTGTCTCCTGGTGGCTTTTCTTCGTCCTCTCCTCCCAAGCATTTAATGTAGGCCTTTCCTGATTTCCATCCTCTTACCATGACCTTGTATATCTCATTCCTAGAACTCCTCAGTAGATCCCTCAAATCTTTCATGCTTTCAATCAGAGGCCAAAGTCAAATGCAGAGTAATTTGAAGACCGCATAACAGAGTCCTAAAACTGTCTCCTTTCTTCAACTTGATACAGCATCAATTAAGAATGTGTCTAAAGGAGCTTGTATTTTAGAATAGAATAGCTGGTTTTGGCCAGATGTGGTGGCTCGTGGCTGTAATCCCAGCACTTTGGGAGGTTGAAGCGGGCAGGTCATCTGAGGTCAGGAGCTTGAGACCAGCCTGGACAACATGGTGAAACCCCATCTCTACTAAAACTGAAAATTAGCTGGGCGTGGTGGTGTGGGCCTGTAGTCTCAGCTACTCGGGAAGCTGAGGCAGGGGAATCACTTGAATTCTCAAGGCGGAGGTTGCAGTGAGACAAGATCACACCAAGAAAGAAAGAGAGAAAGAGAGAGAGCGCCACCACACCCAGCTAATTTTGTATTTTTGGTAGAGATGGGGTTTCTCCATTGGTCAGGCTGGTCTCGAACTCCTGACTTCAGGTGATCTACCCGCCTCAGCCTCCCAAAGTGCTGGAATTACAGGTGTGAGCCACCACGCCCGGCCAGATTTTCTTTTCATGAAAAAGCATTTATTTTTTTTTAGAGACAGGGTCTTCTTCCATTGCCCAGGCAGGAGTGCAGTGGTGCCATCATGGCTTGCAGTAGCCTTGAGCTCTTGGGCTCCAGCAGTCCTTTCACCTCAGCCTCCCGAGTAGCTGGGACTCCAAACGTGCAGCACCATACCTGGGTAACTTTTTAATTTGAATTTTTGTAGAGGTGGGGTCTCGTTCTGTTGTCCAGGCTGGTCTAGAATTCCTGACCTCAAGCAATGCTCCCACCTTGGCCTCCCAAAGCAGTACACATACAAGCATGGGCCACCGTGCTGAATGGATTCAGATTCATAGAGGGGGGAAAAAGGTCATGAGAAAGTTTGTTTCTCTGATTTGAAGTTGCGGCACATTGCAGGCTTTCTAGTTTAGAGGGATCCTCCTGTCACTTGTGAGAAGAGGTGATGCCTGGAAACAGGTGGAGGGACCCAACGTGTTGGCACAGGGTCTGGCCTTCATTCATCTTCTGAGTGGCACTCACTGTGGAGTTCGCATTGCTCAACTCTTCTGCTCCCTCAGGGGCTGTGCTAATCCAGTTTGAGGCCCTAATCCTATGCTTTCAGAAAGTCTTTTAGGGAGAGTGACTAATAGTCCATGAGCCTGTCTTCACTTTGAATCACCCAGAGTCACGGACAGTTCAGACAGCACGAGGCAGTTCAGAAAGGAACAGGGAGCTGCTTTGCAGTTCCATAGGATGGTGAAAATGTCCCTTGAAGATACTCAGACCAGGGAGGCCTCTGACTTGGAGGAGTTCTAAGAAAAGCGTACAATCTTTTTCGGTTTGCTATCAGGTCGTAGAAATGTGTTAGAGAACAGCCTTCCTTCCCTGTGATCCACCCTGCATTGTTTGATTTTTAGGGTTGAATAACATGACATATGTGAGGATGTAGTGAGACATGCAGTCATGACTCACTATGTTTGGATAATGTAATTTCATTCCGGACTCACCCTCAAAGAAGTTTCATTATAGATAGTTGTTCATTAGCGATTTTAAATATTTACATTTAAGCATATCATCAACAAAAGGCTCTGAAACACAAGAAAATGAATTTACAATGGATATGTGATTTTTCAAGTCTACTTTATCTTTGTTTCGGTGTTGGTGAATAAGTAAATAATTGGGCAAGTAAGTAAATAATGTAGGGAAGATAGCATGATTTAGTTTTTGCGCTGAGGGGCTTCTGGTTGGATGGAGCATGAACACCGTGGAATACTGTGGCATGAGTAGTCGTGGGGCCGTATTGAGGTAAAGAGAAATCTTTTAGGGATTCAGCCGCCTGAAAGGTCAGTTCCAGAAGCCAGGCGCAGTGGCTTATGCCTGTATTCCCAGCACTTTGGGAGGCCTGAGGTGAGCGAATTGCTTGAGCCCAGGAGTTTGAAACCAGCCTGGGCAACACAGCACAACCTGATCTCTGCAAAAAAATACAAAAATTAGCTGGGCATGGTGTCATGTGTTGGTAGTCTCAGCTGCTTGGGAGGCTCAGGCTGGAGGATCACTTGAGCCCAGGAGTTTGAGACCAGCCTGGGCAACATAGGGAGATACTGTCTCTACACAGAACTTTTTAAAGGCAGAGTTTCACTGTTGTTGTCCAGGCTGGAGTGCAATGGCGTGATCTCGGCCCATTGCAACCTCCACCTCCCAGGTTCAAGCGATTCTCCTGCCTTAGCCCCTTGGCCTCCCAAAGTACTGGGATTATAGGCATGAGCCACTGCACCCAGCCTCTACACACAAATTTTAAAATTAAAGAAGAAATTCCACACCCAGGTACGGTGGCTCATGCCTGTAATCCCAACAGTTTGGGAGGCTGAGGCAGGCAGATCACTTAAGGTCAGGAGTTTGAGACCAGCCTGGCCAACATGGTGAAACCCTGTCTCTACTAAAATACAAAAATTAGCCAGCCACGGTGATGTGCGCCTGTAATCCTAACTACTCAGGAGGTTAAGGTACGAGAGTCACTTGAATCCGGGAGGCGGAGGTTGATGTGAACTGAGATCACACTACTGCACACCAGCCTGGGCGACGCAGCGAGACTCTGTCTCAAAAAAAAAAAAAAAACAAAAAAAAAACTTCATTCATCTGTTGACAGATACATAGGCTGTTTCCATTATCTGAGATCGTGCCACTGCACTCCAGCCTGGGCAACAGAGCGAGACTGTCTCAAAAAAAAAAAAAAAAAGGCTGAGCACAGTGACTCGCGGTGGCTCATGCCTGTAATCCCAGTACTTCAGGAGGCCGAGACAGGTGGATCACCTGAGATCAGGAATTCGAGACCACCTTGACCAACATGGAGAAACCCCATCTCTACTAAAAATACAAAATTAGCCGGGCATGGTTGACGCATGCCTGTAATCCCAGCTACTCAGGAGGCTGAGGCCGAAGAATCGCTTGAACCCGGGATGTGGAGGTTGCAGTGAGCGGAGATTGCACCATTGCACTCCATCCTGGGCAGCAAGAGCAAAACTCCATCTAAAAAAAAAAACAAAATTCCTCAAGGATGGGGGCCATTGTTCATCCAGTGTAGTGCAAAGCTTAGCTCAAAGTAGAATGTACATAATAAATGTTTGGGGAAGAAAGAGAAGACACAGGAAATAAGGAGGGAAAATTCGGAGGAAGGAAAAGAAATCAACACATTGTTAGGAAGGAGGGATTGGAGATAGAAAAAGAGCGATTTCACAGTTTTGAACTACATAGAAATTTGTCTTTTCAGGCCGGGCGCAGTGCCTTACGCCTGTAATCCTAACACTTTGGGATGCCGAGGCGGGTGGATCACTTGAGGCCAGGAATTTGAGACCAGCCTGGCCAACATGATAAAAATCTCATCTTTACTAAAAATGCAAAAATTACCTGAACGTACTGGTAGTCCCAGCTACTCGGGAGACTGAGGCAGGAGAATCACTTGAACCCCAGAGGTGGAGGTTGTAGTGAGCCAAGATCATGCCACTGCACTCCAGCCTGGGTGACAGAGCGAGACTCTTAAAAAAAAAAAAAGGAGAAAATTGGTCTTTTCTTATTGTGCATTGCAGGATGAGAGAGTCGTCACTTCTAACCTGTAGCCATTTGGGTTCTTACTTTATAATCCATCCTGACCTTAAGCCCTCAGAACTCCGAATACCTTGCCTATGGGAGGTATTAAAGAACGGTTTCCTTCATCTCTGATTAGCACTGTAGCAATGGTAGAGGTCAGTGTTTGAAACTTTAGAAGACTCCAGTCCCTGATGGGACAGCTCCAGCCGAAGGTACTTATAGCTTGGGCTGTAGTATGGAAGTCAACATTATTGCTCTAGGGCAGGAACCAGAGCTTCTCCACCAGCAATTTAGACCCAAGCATTTATCTAGTACTTAAGATTATTTTATATATTTTATTTTTTATATTATTTTTTGTTTTTAAAATTGTTTTAAATCTTTAAAAAATAAGACGGGGTCTTACTCAGTTGACCAGGTTGGTTTTGAACTGTTAGCCTCAAGCAGTCCTCCCACCTGGGCTTCCCGAAGTGCTGGAATTATAGTTGTGAGCCACCACACCTGGCCAAGATTCTTTTTTTAGACCAAAATGTATTCAGGCAGTTTAGCTTGACTACAGTTTTGTCCTACAGATTACAACTGGCTTGTGTAAATTGGCCTTTGATCATATTGCAATGATTGATAGAACTAAATAGCAAACAAGGAGGTACACTGAATGGAGGAGAGTGATGGTGGTGACATCTGTGACCCTGATTTTAGTTTTAGGTGTGAGGATCTTTGCATAAGGAATCATTCCTTATTTCCAAAGGTTTTGTGTCCTCTCTGAGGAAATGAGGCTAAAGAGCTTTAAAAACAATGAAAAATATATTTCCCTTCTTCTGTGAGGGAATATTAGAGATTTTTCGTTTCTTTTGAGATAGGGTCTTTTGCTTTGTCACCCAGGCTACACTGCAGTGGTGCAGTCATAGCTCACTGCAGCCTCCATCTCCCAGACACAAGTTATCCTCCTGCCTCAACCTCCCAAGTAACTGAGACCACAGACACGCACCTTCATACTTCGCTAATTTTTATTTTTACTTTTAGGGTTTTTTTTTTGGAGACAGAGCCTTGTTCTGTTGCCCAGGCTGGAGTTCATTGGCACAATCTTGGCTTACTACATCCTCTGTCTCCCGAGGGCAAGCGATTATCCTGCCTCAGCCTCCCAAGTAGCTGGGATTACAGGCATGTGCCACTGCGCCTGGCTAACGTTTTGTATTTTTAGTAGAGACGGGTTTCACCATGTTGGCCAGGCTGGTCTCGGACTCCTGACGCAGGTGATCCACCCATCTCAGCCTCCCAAAGTGCTAGGATTACAGGCATGAGCCACCGTGCCTGGCCTTACTTTTTCGTTTTTGTAGAGATGGGGTCTCACTATGTTGGGCAGGCCCAAAGAGATATTTTCTACTTAAAGTTGTGGTGGTATCCAGGATTGGATCTTGGAACAGAAAACAAGAGATTAATAGAAAAACTGGACTGGGCAAGGTGGTTTACACCTATAATGCCGACACTTTGGGAGGCCAAGGCCAGAGCATTGTTTGAGCCCAGGAGCTGAGACTAGCCTGGGCAACATGGTGAGAGCTCTGTCCCTATTAAAAAAAAAAAAAAATATATATATATATGTATACACACACATATATAAATTAGCTGGGTGTGGCAATGCATGTCTGTAGTCCCAGCTACTCGGGAAGCTGAGGCTGGAGGATCGCTTGAGTCCTGGAGATTGAGGCTGCAGTGAGCCGTGTTCACACCACTACACTCCAGCCTGGGTGACAGAGTGAGACCCTGTCTCAAAAAAACAAGGGAAAAGTGGTGAAAATCTGCAGTCTAGGGTTTAGTCATTAGTAATGTACCAATGTCAATTTCTTATTTTGACAATGGTACCCTAGTTAAGTAAAATGTTAACTTTAGGGAAAACTGATCAAGGGGTATAATGAGGGAAATCTCTGCACTATCTCTGCAACTTTTCTGTAAATGTAAAATTATTCCAAAATTAGTTTATTTAAAAGTTCTAACCCTGTGCTCGCATCTCAGCCGCAGCGTCATTGTTGGTGCAGGTTACATTGCTGTGGAGATAGCAGGGATCCTCTCAGCCCTGGGTTCTAAGACATCACTCATGATACGGCATGATAAGGTAAAGTCCACCTTTTCCTTTTCCCTTTTCTTGATCTTAATTTTAAAAATGAAGAATTTTTTCTTATGTTGTCATTAAATACTAGGGTGCAAAACAGGTGGGGGTCAGTTGGTTGGTTTCACATGGTGCTGTATCCAAGTTACCTGAATTTGGCCAATATGCCTCCCAGTTGCTGGTTGATGATGATTTTGAGTTGGTCAAATCGGCTGGTAATTTCATCACTAAGTGGTAGATATGAGATGCCCTCATAGGGAGACATGGGGGCCTAAACATAACTATTAGCTAAATTAAACACACTGTTAGATTAATTTATTTTTTTAATTAATTAGAGTCTCACTCTGTTGCCCAGGCGGGAGTGCAGTGACACCATCTCAGCTCACTGCAACCTCTGCCTCCTATGCTCAAGTGATTATCATGCCTCGGCCTCCCGAATAGCTGAGATTACAGGTGTCCACCACCATGCCTGGCTAATTTTTGTATTTTTAGTAGAGACGGGGTTTCACCGTGTTCACCAGGATGGTCTCAATTTCCTGACCTCGTGATCTGCTCGCCTCGGCCTCCTAAAGTGCTGGGATTACAGGCGTGAGCCATTGAGCCCTGCCAGGTTAATTTATTAATTTCTGGAAATCAATTTTATATGATCAAGTAATATTAGATTGGTTGCCACTCATTCCAAACAATTTACTAAATTCTTTGCATTAAAGCAGGGGTGTCCAATCTTTTGGCTTCCCTGAGCCACACTGGAAGAAGTAGAATTGTCTTGGGCTACATATAAAATATACTGACACAAATAATAGCTGATGAGCTAATAATAAAATAAATTGCAAGCTGGGCACAGTGGCTCATGCCTCTACTTTCCAGCACTTTAGGAGGCCGAGGCAGGCGAATCACTTGAGGTCAGTAGCTGGAGACCAGCCTGGCCAATGTGGTGAAACCCCATCTCTACTAAAAATCCAAAAATTATCCAGGCATGGTGGCAGGTAACTATAATGAGTGAGCCGAGATCGCACCACTGCACTCCAACCTGGGCAACAGAGCAAGACTGTGTCTCAAAAAAAAAAAAAAATGCAAAAAAACTCTCATAGCAGTTTAAGAAAGTGTACATATTTGTGTTGGGCCACATTCAAAGTCATCTTGGTGCACACTCTGGCCTGCAGGCTGCTGCAGATTGAATGGACTTACATTAAAGGCAATCTTGTAGATTATACCCTTGAACTTCTTTTTTTTTTTTTTTAGAGACAGAGTCTTGCTCTGTCACCCGGTCTGCAGTACAGTGGCGTGATCATAGCTCACTGCAGGCTTCTGAGCTCATAGGATGTTCCTGCCTCAGCCTTCCAAGAAGCTGAGGCTATAGGTGTGGGCCACCACGCCCTGACTAATTTTTTTTTTTTTTTTTTTTTGAGACAGGGTCTCACTGTGTTGCCCAGGCTGGAGTGCAATGGCGCATCATGGCTCATTGCAGCCTCAGCCTTCTGGGCTCAAGCGATCTTCCCATCCCAGCCTCCCAAATAGCTAGGACTACCGGAGCATTCCACCACACCCAGCGAGGTTTTGCCATGTTGCCCAGGCTGGTCTCAGACCCCTGAGCTCAAGTGATCTGCCCACCTCGGCCTCCCAAAGTGCTTGGAATTACAGGCATATGCCACCTGACTAATTTTTATCTATTTTTAGAGATGAGGTCTTACTATGTTGGCCAGGCTGGTCTCGAACTCCTGGCCTCAAGCTATCCTCCTGCCTCAGGTTCCCAAATAGCAGGGAGGAGTTCAAGACCAACCTGGGCAGCATAGTGAGACCCTATCTCTACTA